TGACATGTCATGTGTTAAAAAATCTTAATTAAAAATAGTTGGACGATATTTGCCACATAGCATGTCCATTTACTATCACTTTGGTGATCGTAGTTTTAATAGAGGTGAGACCAACTTACATAAGTCACCTCTATTTAAAAAGTTGTCAACAACATAATGAGTAAATATATTGACCAAACGAGAAAAGGTAATGAGTAAATATGAATCCTTCAAGCTTTGCTAAACATCAATGCTTCTTACTATAATTCTTTATGAGACAAAAGGATGTTCCCAAATGATGCTCATGTGGATTTTCTTTTTCTCCAGAAAACAGATACTACTGTTGAATATTCTTCAAACCACCAACATGGAGATTGTATCACAAGTAGATGGGAATTAAAGGAAGTATTCAGCAGAGATGGGCTGGCAAAGCTCAAAACCAAAGTGTTCTTTGCTTCTTTTGATCAAAGGAGTGAAAAGGCGGCCGGAGAGAGTGCCTGCACGGCACTAGTTGCAGTCATCGCCCACTGGCTGCATTCGAACCAAGACTCGATGCCTACAAGATCCAAATTCGACAGCCTCATAACAGAAGGTTCCACAGAGTGGCAAAAACTCTGCAGCAACGAAACTTACATAAACTTATTTCCCAACAAACACTTCGACCTGGAAACAGTTTTGGAAGCTGATGTTAGACCTCTCGACGTCTCACCTGACAAGTCTTTCATTGGATTCTTCAGCCCCGAGAAGTTCGAGTGCTTGAAAGGACTCATGTCGTTCGACGAGATATGGGATGAGATCAATAGAAACACCATGTTAGACAAACCAATGATATACATAGTGAGCTGGAACGATCATTTTTTTGTGCTGAAGGTTGAAGCTGATGCTTACTATATCATGGATTCTTTGGGTGAGAGACTGTTTGAGGGGTGTAACCAGGCATACATGCTAAAATTCGACGATTCGAGCATCATGTATGGGAAAGCAGAGAAAGCAGAGGCTGGCTCAGAGGACATTGCAGGGTCTGAGAGTAACAAGGAGGAAAGCCTAGAAGAAATATGTAGTGGAAAAGAGTGTTGCCGGCAGTTCATTAAAAGATTTCTTGCTGCCATACCACTTGGGGAGCTTGAGGAGGAAGAGAGAAAGGGGACAGTATCTACTTTACCTCTCCACCGGCGTTTGCAGATCGAGTTCCACTACACCTCCTCCTCCTCCTCCTCTTCTTCCACTTTGTCTTCTGCAACTTCTTCCACTTACTCTCTCTTCTCGGGTGAAGAGTGCATAGAAATCAAGCACCAGAATTGTATAGAAGGGTTTCATTCCTTAACATTTTCTGATACTCTTGAGACTAGATAGATATTTTAATGAGATTTTAAAGTCGACTATATCTATAGGTCACATAACCAAAAGAAAAATAACTCTAAACAAAGAAAAGAAAAATGTTCCAAATTAGAGGATATGCTGAAACAAAGAAAGATGAGCATTTGTTTTGACCCCACAGATGGCCTTTACAATTTATCACCATTCGTGCCAAATTGCAAACAAAGAGCCCCATCCAGTCATTCATTAAAACATTTACTTTTCTTTTGCCTTGTTTGTTAATCAAACAAGAAACCACAAAAGCATAATGGCTCGAGATAATTGTGTGTTTTAAAGTGACAAACTCCTTGTCCCCCACTCACACAAACAAAAATCTCCATCGAGTTCTTTCTTACTAAAATTTCCCCCAACTTCTATAATAGACCGATCTAAAGGTGGGCCCATAAGGACAATAACCTTATCTGTTACCACTAATGAATCAAAGATTATTCTTTAAACAGTAAAGTTTAGGTTTGTGTTTGTGTGGACTGTCCTCCCTTTTTCACATAGATCCCATATACCTAATAATATCCAAACACAACCAGAAAAGAATAATCCTATCCTATGAATCTCTTAGCCACACCATCACAAGGCCAATCTAATCAAACTCAAGCTTACACAAATTTGAACAAGTTCAAGCCAGTTTGAGAGAAAGCGTAACCGCAAACCAAAATCTTCATCAAGTCAAAATTAAAGTTAATACCATAACTACATGTAGTTCTAGGTTCTAGAAAGCATCATGGGTGACATATCACCATTTCTACATTGCAGATCCGAAGTCCATTCCCTCATCTAATCTAATCTCAGATTCACTATTTACATTTCATGTCTTACAACACTGCAAGAGCAGCACAGTTCATTACCATGTAATGTAGCTAGGAAGTACATCAAGATTGCAAAAGGAAGCTTTCGGCAATGCACAATCGCTAAGCCAATATCAAGATCTTGAGGCAATTAACTTTACTAAAGCAGGAGTCAGTCTACAAACCTCCATTTCTCATATTTCCAGTCAAGTGACCAAAAGGAAGCTCTGGCTGCCTATAAAATTTGGTATCCCCTGTTGGGTGATTGAAAGCTGCCTTTCGCTTTCTCACTGTCGCTTGTTCATTCATATATTCACCTTCAAAATTCAACCTACTTGAATACGAGTCTCTTGGGCCATATTCATTACCCTTACCAATGAAAGAGGGCCGTCTATCGAATTGTGGTTGTGACTGATCACTGCACATGGTCCCTTCCTGAGCACAAACATCTTTGACCTCTTCAGCCTGGCTGTTTTCACCGATTGAGTATTGAGTAGACAGTGGGCCTAACCGCAGAGACAAATCACACCCAACCATACATGGGTTCTCAGTGTAGTCCCTGGTATCTGTTTGTGTATTGTCATTTGATTTATCTCCATTACAGAGCAAATTGGAAATAACTCCCATCTTCGCAGGTTCTATTGGGTCAGAAACTGGTTTAGGAAGGACAACAAAACCAGGCTTGAGTTCTTCAAACTGAGGAAAATTTCCGTAGTGCAGAGGGTATGAAGAAAAGTTAGATGTTGCCTTACTTTCCCTAGGGGAGAATTGGTCATAACCCAAAGGAGGAATATTTTCAGAAGCAATGCCGAATTTCATAGTAGTGCAGTCATTATTTTGGACAACAGGGAATCTAGATTCAAAGCCAAGATGGGTTGTCATACTTTTGGGTTTCACAAAATTTGGAAAATGAGGCCTATACTGTGAATTGGATGTGTAATCCCTCTGACTAGCATTCTCTACTACGCTAGGAGAAATGCTAGGGACATCGGAAGTGATGGGAATCAGATAACACCGTGGATTAGTATGTCGTTGACTCCTCGAAGTTCTTCTTGGAATGCACCCCAAATTGAGAGCAGCTGGGTTGTTATATGAAAAATTAAGAGTTAACACAGAAAGAAAATATACAATTAAAATTAGTAGTCTTATACATGGATAACAACCAAGAAAATACTAAACAATATCAAGAATTTATGTCTCATCCAAAATTTTATTAACAGTGATAAAAACCCAGATGCAGATATCCAGAGACTGATTCTGGCCCAAATTTGCAAACAGATTCAACCAGAAAAGAATGAAGTCAAAACTGTTTTAGCTACCTTCAATACAAGGCTGAAGAAAGTCTCCAGTTTCAGTACCCTCATCACGCCGAATTATCGTGTTAATAGCATCATTTGTTCGGTCCCAAAGGGTTTTAAGGTCCATGTATTCAGCCTATAAAAGAACAGAGTTCCAAAGCACAAAACTTTACAAGAGCCGAATAAGTAAAACTTCAGCGACATACACCACAACTCTGTTCTGCTACTAAAAAACGTAGAAAATAGAAAAGGCAAAATTGAATTCTTAAAATCAATACTCATTAGTATCTAGAAAAAGGGTAAGCAATTTTGGTTGAGATAAGAGCAGGAAAAGAGTAAAAGACTACCTCAGAATTTGCTTTGGAGTACATAATTTCTTCTGCTTTCAAGACAACAATAGGGAGCTTATCTTGCCATTCTTTGTTCTTCCTGGTAGCTGAGCTATGGATCTCATTCACAACCCTGAGCAAAACACATAAGTGATTACCATTTAGAGACAAACAGACATATGCACAAATGTAAAGTTCAACATTTCAAAACCCACCCAAAACCCAAAAAAACAAAAAAAACAAAAAGCAAAAATAGACATGCAAATTTAGAGTTGAGATGAGAGTGGGGAACCTGAAAATTTCTTTAATGAGAGAACCTCTCATGGGTTGGTGTCTCTCACTATGCCAAGCTCTTCTAACACACTCATATGGTCTTGGGCCTGATCTTGGCATCCTCACCAATTCACACACACACACACACACACACACCGAGAGAGAGAGGGAGAGATAGAGAGAGGGCGAGAGAGAGAAGCAAACTTCTTTAACTCCAATTGGGCTCTAATGAAAAAAGTTGAGAACTTGAGGCAGCTTCTGCCTGTGCTTTCTGTCTTCTTCACTGTGACTCCCTCAAAGACTTTTCTTTTCAAGACACTGACCCAAAATGCAGCAGTTCCACCAAGATTTCAAGTGAGCAATAGAAGAGAGAGAGAGAGAGAGAGAGAGAGAGAGGGGCAACTGGGTCGGGTGTCTGTTTGTTTGCTATGCTTTTTTTATTTATTGGTTTTTTGAATGTCAGAAACTCAATAATTTCAAAGGGTTTCAATTGATGAGTTTGGTGTGTCCCCCACTCATCCACATGCCTGCTTCCCCTAACCCCAGGAGTCCCTCTCTCTTTTTTAATTGCTTTTGTTTTTTGGCTCTCTCTCTCTCTCTCTCCTGACCAGTGACCACAACATTGATAATTCATGTATTCATGTGTTCATGGAATGGTGTGGGGGAGAGAGTACAGAGTCCTGATGATATTTGTCACTGTCGGTCACCTTTAAGCAACCCCAACCTCACACAAACTGTTAATACATGGCTTCCCAACTCAGAAACCAACTGTACTCTACAATTGATCATGTGTACAATTTACACAAATTATTTGACCCAAAGACCAAATTTTTAAAAAAATGTAATTTAGTCTAAAATCTACAATTTAGGGTTTAAAATCTATTCTCTAAAATCTAAATAACATTGTTTCATGACAATCACTCGCATACTCATCGACGATAATTTTACATGCATCTACAATAATGAGTGTTAATAGTCGGAAATCATCCACGCGTGAGCACCTGCGTGGTATTCTTGAAATCTAAATGTGATGAGAAATACGAAAAAATATGCTTGGTAAGTCAACATAATTGTGATGTGATTCTGCCCCTTATCGCTTTGGGACAATATTTCATCAAACTATAGGCTTAAATCAAATAGTTAAGCGTTTATTAAAGGGAACACGTGCAAATTTATTAGGGGGAAAGTGCACTGTACCATACTTTTGGTTTTATGAGGAGACATGTGTCATACATGCCATCCATCATGCATTATTCGCGAAATATATTTGATTTAGTAATATTTAATCTTCATTTTAGAACATGATCCAATTGTTATTGATTGTATTCAATAAATTTCTACAATTTGAAAACAAAAAGATAGCGGGGGACTTAGGATTGCACCTTGAGTTCGAGTTCAAGATTTTTGTCCATAATTCAAAGTAGGATTCAAGGCCTAAATGAAGATTCAAAATCTAAGTTATAGAATTTGAGATTTAAGGTTGGAATTCGAGGTCCGAGCATATCAAAAATATTTTCTTGGAAAAGTGAAGCTTTGGCATTACAAAACATATGGTACGAATTTTTTTCATCATTGCCAATTAATTTTGGATTCGAGTCCCTTAAAATAGAGTAGGGTACAAATCCGAAACTTGATTTTGGGCCGGAGTCCGATATGGGGATCCGAGTTAGTTAATTTTGTTGTCTCTCCAAAGTCCAAACCCAATTCTGGACACCACACACACGAGGCCTTAAGTTTCAAGTAAAATCACAATTTTTTCTACAAGAACTTGAAAGTCGAAAAAGTTGCGTCCTTTTCTGCCTCCACCAAACCTCCAATTCCAAGCATCACTATGCGGGCCCACAAATTAGAGACTTAGGAAAGGAGGCCCACCTCATCTGCATGCCTACCACGTGTGCATCTACCATGATATCCAACAAAGCTTGTATATAAATTATCCGTCCCCCATTCCATTTTTGATTTGATGTAATCACAAACCTATATCGTGCAAATCAAACGGGTCTGATTTCTCAGATGATGACGATTCAGTCTGCAATTGCGCATAAGTAAGACCCACCCACATAACAGCGCAAAGACAATATACCCCATCGAAATTAATAAATACAACCGCTCATTGACTGTAAAGAAAAGAATCCCACCCAAACCATTAAACTGAGGCGAAAACTCGAACTTAAGTGCAAGAAGACACGCGTATTCTAAAAAATAAAAAAGAAGATGTTATCACTTTCTTGCGAACTTTCTTAATCTGCATTTGCAGTTTTTTTAGCACGCGAAAATAGGGAAGGAGATTAGAACAACTTAGGTACAAACTGAACCACTTAAGCCACGCGTCCATTACAAACTATTAGACTGAATTATTCACACATAAACCAGGTTATTTAGCATTAAATCCCCTTTATATCCTCCAAACAAAAGATAACAAATTATTTTCAAAATAAGTTAAAAAGTAATTTAAAAATAAAAAGCGCTTTTAGGTTGTCATCAATCTTATCCCCGCCGTCAATTACCATGCTCCTCATCTTCTTCCACTAAATCTCACTCTCCATTTTTCGCTAAAAATACCAGTCAGTATCTCTGTAGCTTTCTCAGCCACAATACCATGCTCTCCCCAACGCCATTTTCTCTCATCTGCACTGTTCTTCTCTGCTTGCCTCTCACCATAATCTTCACCATCACAAGCCAAACCGCCACCACAACCACCATCATCCCTACCCAAATATCCCAATCCCCAAAACTCACCAAAACCTACAAAACAAATCAACCTAATTTCACTGAAACCCCTCCCCTGAGAAAACGCCCCGCTTTGCCCCTTCCCCTCCCGTGTCAAGTCCCGCCCGCCCTGCTCCGATCACCCCAAAATCACATTCCTCTTCCAAACCATCACCCATCTCCCATTCTCCCCTCTTTGGGAACGCTTCTTCAAACCCCCAAAACCCATTTCTCTATCTACGTCCATGCCGACCCGAGATTCCCATATGACCCACCGTTTTCCGGCATCTTCGTCCACCGAGTCATCCCCTCCCGACCCGCCCAGCGATTCACCTCCACTCTCATCTCCGCGACCCATCATTTGCTCGCCCACACGCTCCTCGATGACCCCAAGAATTCCATGTTCATGATTCTCTTTCCTTCCTGCATCCCCATCCGATCCTTCAACTTCACATACCAAACCCTCATCCGATTGAAGAAGAGCTTCATCGAGACTCTGGATAATGAGATCAGGGCGTACGATAGGTGGGCGGCGTGTGGGGAGGACGCGATGCTGCCGCAGATGAAGCTGGAGGAGTTTCAGATTGGGTCCCAATTTTGAATCCTGAAGCGGAAGCACGCGAGGATGGTTGTGGGTGACCACCGGTTCTGGTCCAAGTTCAAGCTACCGTGCCAACGTTGGGACATGTGTTACCCAGAGGAAAATTATTTTCCTACCCTCATGAACATGAGAGACCCAGGTTGGTGCGTGCTCGCTACCCTCACTCATGTGGACTGGCGCGGGAGATTCGATGGCCACCCCCGCACATATGAGGCTTCCAAGGTAAGGCCTGATTTGATCACCGCCCTGAGAAATGACAGGCTGAAGTATGGTGACGAGAAGGAGAGCGGCAATGGCTCTGATTGGTCTGTGGTGGAAAGGTGGGATCCATTTCTATTTGCGAGGAAGTTCCCGCCGGATGCAATTGGATCGTTGATGAGTATAGCTAATGATGTCATCTTCAAGGATTAAGATGCGATGACATATTTAGGATTTTTTTTTTTTTTTTTTTTTTTTTGTAATTTACAAATGAAATTATTAACAAAAAGAAAGAAAAAAAAATGAAACCGGGACAAACCCGGTGGGTTTGAGGAGCAAAATGTATATATTTTTCATTTATTGGTCTTTGAGGTGAGTTTTCTTGGTTTTTCCAAAGTGGAAAAACATGTTTGGTTAAGCCTAAGCGGTGCAATGTCTCTTTTTAGACTTTTATGAGTGGTAGTGTTTTGGCTTTATAGATTCCCCTACGGCCAAACTAAGTGATTGTCAATGATCAAAAGCTTTGCCCTTTAACAAACTTAAAAGGATCCTAATGTTTTGTTTTCATGGGAATTGCCTAACTTTGGCTTATGTAGTTGACGCATGTTTTAATGTCTACCATTTATCGTGTTACACGACATAATAGATGTCATGTATTGGGTAGGGGTGTAATCAGGGCTATGCCAAAAATCGTCTTGTCATCCCTCCCCATCCAAATTTTTTCATTATCTGAATAGCCAAAAAGGATTGTATAATTAAATTGTGTGTTTCACATTTTGACCCATAAACACTGAAGTTTTGGCTCTAACTTTCTACATGTCATACGTCATTTCTATTATGTAGGATTTTAGGTAGGAAAAGGTAAAGGGGAAAATGACTTACCACATTGTCGGCTAGAAAATGAGATGAGGTAGGTGGAAGGTACCTAGTAAATCTAGGCGGGGGAGTTGCATGTATTTACATCAGGGTTGGTGAAAAGGTATTAATTTTTTACCAAAAATATAAATAAAAATTACTTTAAGCATGTTGCTTGGTATAATAGGTATGTTGAGATGATTTTAAAAAAATGTTTTTTTTTTTGTTTGGGTCAGGTACTGTGAATGTTATTTGGACACGTGGTCGTCAAATCTAGCGCCTAGTCCGCTAGCGGCTTTAATGTTTTTTTTAAAATTTTTATATTTAGCAACTCACTCACTCACATCACATATTGCATTTGCAAAAGGCTAACGCACTATTGTCTTGACATCTGTCCCCACATTCTCTTTTTATTTTATAATCAATTTTGAATAATTATTTTCATAGAATTATTACAAAGTAGTTATTATTTTTTATTTTCTCTATTGAAGAGAAGTGGATGAAGATTATTTTAAAATAATTTTAAAAATCACCGGGCTGTGGACTTATTATGATCGTAATAGATAAATGAGCTGTTGGCCCCAAATTGGATTAACCAACTCAAAGAAGTTGGATGGTTTGATTGAACCCAGTTACATCATAAGCATTTTCAACAGATGTTGGGCCTATTTAAATGGTCCATATTCATCCATATTATTCTTTAATGGACTGACCCAGATTTGAAAACTAATCTTGTTTCGGCTTGTGCTTCTCTATGTGCACCCAAAAAGAAGAAGAAAAAAAAAAAAACTCTACACTCAACTAATTTGATCCAACGATTATGACATATGGCCTTAGATAAGGCTCTCACTATAGAGCGACTCCGCTACAGAATTCTACCATCTGGATATATGAAAACTTATTTGATTTGAGCCCACCACATTGGCTGTCTAATGATCACACGGAAATTAGCCCAACCCAACCCAGCAATAGAAAAATTGAAAACTCAATATCTTAAGCTGTTTTATATACAAATCTAATATGATTTTGTCACAGTTAGAAAGGAGAGATGAAAAACTCACACACACGAATATTACTGAGAATTAAACCACGACCACTTGGAAGCACACCAAAAGCTTGAACTAATTAACCTAACACCCGATTGACGACTCTTAACGACTTCAATTGGCTCATCTCATGCACACAATCAAATGGTGAAAAAGCCTTCTATAATGCTCAAACGCAAAGCTGGTGAATGGTGATGATTATGGGTGAGACAGAAACCCACCAAGAACCATAGATATATATAGTACAAGGAGAGTCCTCCAAATCAAACAAGGAGAAGGGCATGCAAAACAATGATGAGAGAAATTGAGTAACAATCTCAAAATTGACGACCAACGCGTTAAACATATTGGCCCAGTAAGCAGAGCATTATGAGCCTCATAAAGGAGACTTGGACCCATCTGCCCCATCATTGGACAATGCCAAACCAAAATCGCCATCAGCTATCAAATCACACCACAAGGGGCAGTTTGCTCAACTCCATTAAAAAATAGCATGGACGTATATGTACAATTTTTCTGTGCAGGGTGAAAATGTATCGATAATATACATGTACGTTTTGCCGACATAAATGAGAGATGATGAAAATGTATCGATAATGTATCTGTACGTTTTGTTGACATAAATGAAAAATCGAAATATTATCAATAACATATCGACAATCAGACGTCCTGTGAACTACAAAAATATGTATGATTTATGTGGTCCTCAACTAGTCATGGGGCAGAGTTCAGATGACCTATCCCCTCTTCAGCCCCACAAGATGCAGAGAGCTGCAGTTGGCCTCTCGATGTTGATTTGGTTTGGGTAACAATTCTAGGTAAACCATTATTTCTGATGTTGGTGTTGGATTTCGAATGTACAAATTCGATATGATTTGTTCAACTAATTTGAATTTGTTCTCGGAAAATTACAATTTAATATAAAACGATGACCCGTTTATACAAATGAAACTTGCGGTCAATCATACATGTGTTATTTGCCACCTTTGTTGACGGAAAAGTCGAAGGAATGAACAGCTAGCCATTTGGTTAATAAGAAAATTTCTGCGACTTATAAAATCCACCGACAGTGTCAAAATGGGAAGGACTGTTTTTTCTTCTGTTTTGTTTTACATTTGGTCCCCCCAATTGGGCTCAATAAAAAAACTTCAAATACCTACTACCAAAAAGTAATACAGTTTTTGAAGTAGACATTATATTTGAGTAGGTTGGTTCTTAAAATTATGAAATTATAGTTGATTTTATTAATCTGATCGATTTCTCCTATGGAAAGAGAAAGAAAGAAAAAAATTTGTAACAATCAAATTATTTAAGATAAAGAAGAAAAAAAATATAAAATAAATAAAAGTAATAATCAGTTGTCTTTAAAAAACATAATAAAATATTTATTTGACATTTTACTTTTGGGATGTCAAAAGTAACGACTGAACCTCCAGCCTTTATTTCACATTAGCTTTACAACTCGGTTGAAGTGATGTGAGATGTTATTTCTAGCCGTTAAATGTCTATATTTCACTTTTGAGATTGGAGATACTCTAACTACTCTCAAATGAGTATTTGAAAGATATTATTCTGCGTTTATCGGGATTAACTAGAAGGTTCAGGTTGAATTCAGCCAGTAAGAGTATGACTAATGTCATTATATTATAATCAAAAGTTGGAGTTAGGGTTAAAGAAGCACAAACAAAAAGAAAAGAGTAAAGGGTTAAAGTAGAAAAGCCATGAAAGAAAAGAGGAAGGATGGTGGGTCATGGATGCCAAATTCATGAAAAAGTGGTGGAACATACTGGAAAGGAACCTAAATCCACTGACAGTTGTTTTCCACACAACACACACCACCCCACATGCCATAACAAGACAATATTGTTCTTTTTCTCCTCACAACATTATTGTGTGGACTTTATGGCATTGAATTTTTATCTCACCCACTGAAAAACTAACTTATTAAGAGCATCTTCCAAGAAAGTGTCACATACTAAATATCAAATTTAAATTTAATGGCTGATGTGGTAATTTAACATCTTACACAGCTTTTTACTCCACCCGATATGTCAAATTAAATTATTATTTTATTACATTTTAGTGTTGATTCATTTTTAATTAAAAAGAAAAGAAAAAAAAATATAATAAAATATTTATTTGACATCTTGCTTTTGGAATGTCAAAAATAACATCTCAACCTTTAGTCTTCATTCCACATCAGTTTTGACACATCGGTTGGAGTGATATGAAATGTTATTTATAATTGTTAAATATCTACGTGGCACGTTTGACACATCGATTAGAGATGCTCTAATACGATGAATTATTTATTTTTCAAGCCTGTGTCAAAAGAGTCAAAAAATCCAATTTGAGAAAATTGAACTACTTGATTATTATCATGATTATTTAATTGTTTACATGAAATATTATATTCATCTGTTTAATCTATTTATTTGATCATAATTAGACGACTTAATATTGTCCGATTTCATTGACTTATCTTGAATGTTGAATTAAAAATTGAACAATTTTGTTGAGAGTGTTAACCTCCCCACTTATAGCCAATTCATTTTAGGTTAGGTGCTCGCCTTATTAACCGGCAAACGTCACATCTATAATTCTTATGAAAAAAGCCGAAAAAGGAAAAGAAAACAAGAACTTAGAATCCTATGCCTTGTTCTTAATGATTAGTGCAGCCAAAAAGTAGTATTTGATTTGCAGGGGTCACTTATCTAAGACCCTTGATTTGGAATTTGGATTAGAACGACTTCAATTTGGACTTGGGTGAGTACCTGGAGTTACTAGTTGTAAAACAAAGAAGAATCGTTGGCCAAATCTGACAAAGGAGGTCGTTTTCAGTTAATTCTCCTCGCTTTCTTTGACGCCACGAAGCTGCTTTGGACTATTGTCTATCGTTTATGTCGCATGTCTCATGTCATTTCTTTCAGGTGTTGGAACTTTCCCACTCTCAGTTTCTGTCCGGATTAGCAAACCATAATCCGAATTTAGTCAAATTATATCCAAATTGGGTCCAGATTAGTTAGGACAGCAGGTAAAACATAGTTAAACAGCTTCACCAAAGAAGAAACTCGCTTTGTATCAAATTGAATGAATTAAATTTGGTTACCAAAACAACAATCAGAGATTCTTGTCTGTTGATATATAAAGAAAAAAGAAGAAAAAAATTGTCAACAAATTCTAATATTACAAAACACAAAGAGACATCATCACAAATCGATTTTACGTATATCCGAGCATCAAAATCCCCCCACAATGACGAATCTCTTCATTTCAGTCCCCTCTCTTCCACCCAACCATTTTCATGCACAAGTTGCAAGAACAGGCTTAGAACAATTCATACAACATAGAAAAAAATACTAGGAAAACATCATACAAAATGAACAAAGAGTAAGTCATTTATAGGCAGGCAAATGAGGATCACAATAATCAGTAAGGAGTGTAGTAGTACCCAGCCGCCGGCGGCATCCCAATTCCATTTGCCGGAGGCATTCCATAAGGTACCGGAGGCATACCATAAGGTGCTGCTCCGTAGTACCCCGGAGCGCTCATTTTCGCCAAACTACCTTGGCCTTGCATTCCCTCCTTGGCATACTGATTCCATACCTGCTGCTCCTGCACAAGCAAATGCTGTTTCTTCTCCAGATCCGCCATTTGCACATAGGAAGGCGGTGGAACGGTTAATGATGCAGCAAATGGGTCCTGATTCACCGCTTGAACTGTCCCGTCAGGGGCGGGAAGAGCCAACACCGGTGTGGCGCTCTTCCCTGGCCCGGGCAATGCTACACTACTAGCACTACCGCCACTCAATTGGGAAGTGCTCACATGCTGCCTCACAACGCCCTGATCATACATTCCATCCAATAACAACGGATCAAGCCCGCCACCCAGATTTTGTTTCTGCCTAGATAAATTGCTTGCTGTTTCTACCAATGCCAGTTCCCAATCTGCCTTCCCGGCCTCCGCAGCAGGTGTCTGCCAAGCCGAGGTGACTTGGGGCTGCCCATCTGACGGGAAAGCTTCCCATGATCCATTTGCAGGTCCACTACCACCAGGACCAGCAAACAAAGCCAAAGCCAACTTATTCGCCTGCGCATCAGCTGAAACCCCATCATCCCTCAAATCCACCAAGTCCGGTACCACTTCCTGTTTGGGCTCCGCCTTATCCACAACCTCAGGGGGCGGTGGCGGAGTGTAATTCTCCGGCGCTGGCAATGCCTTAATCTCATTCATATTTTGGGGCTCCTCCTCTTGAGGAGGCGGAGGAACAGGCTCCACTCTCCTCTCAGGACTCTTGGTTCCCTTCGACCTGTCCCTCACAAACTCCTCCAATGTGTCCAATAACTTACTCCCAATCCTCTGCACCTCTGGATACTCTGACGACCGGGCCAGACCCGAATCCTTGCACCAGGCATAAAAACCGACAAGCTCATCAATCTGCTTTGCCGCGCTCGCATATGCATCAAACGCTTTCACACAATCCGGATACTCCATATCGAAAAACTTATCAAGCAAAACCGCCAAAACCTCACAGATATCACCATACAGCTGAAAGCTCTCCCTCACCACCGGGTACACAGCAACCAAAACCATCCGACTATTCTTCGCCAAACCCGTGGGTCGGGTCGCCAGAAACCGATCCAACAGCCTCTGCAAATGACCCATCTTCGCAAAAATCTGCTCCGGCTTCATATCCCTCAATGGGGTCACAGCCCTCTTCTCATCTCGCCCGTTTCGACTCACCGATTCATTCATATCCCCGTAAGACCTCGACTTTCTCATCCCCCCTCCATTCTCATAGTCCTTAAACTCCCGATCTCGCTCTCCTCCATACTCATACTCGTAATTCCTCGGCGGCGGAGACCTGTAATGCAAAGACCCATTAGACCCAATCGAGCTCTGTCGATCTCCAACACCACCACCACCACCACCACTCTTCCTCTCGAACAGCATGAGCTCGAGCCTCTGATCCAAGTACAGAGCGTATGTCCTCACAAAAGCAGAGTGATCCCACGAGCTCGAGTGAGCCTCGTCCCTGAAATCCGATAGGTTCAGGAGGCGGGTCCCCCTCCGGGTCGCGTACACGATCTCGTCCCCGAACACCGGGCCCCCGTCGTTCAGCACGCGTTGGCC